CAAGTTAATGGATGGCACACTAGCATTCGCGCCGCCCTCAGCCCAGATGTTGCCAACAACATCGTTACAAACTTGCTCTTTAAGAGGCGCACGGGCTGTTGGGCAACAGGGAGGCGCACACTCGCGGACGATACTCCATTGTTGGCGACGGGTTAACCGCGCTACCGTACGGTTGGCAAGGCGCCCGAACCATTAGCGTTACCCTAGGGCCAGAAATTATTTTACAGCTCCGGCCCGCGCAGTATATTTGTATGAGACAAGCTGTCAATAAAAATAGGTCGAATATAGTTAAAATGAGTAGTAAATCAAGAGTCAACTGTGTGCTTATCGCAGATGAGTTGGATTTCAGGCGGACGTCAGTTGAATCTGGTGTGCTCCCTTCTGGCTCACGCGCGTCTGGTAACAAAACCTGGCGTCCATAACCAGGGCCCTCTAATTTTAGAAGTTGACATTCTCCCCTGATGTACCGAATACCCCTTACTGACACAAAAAGAACTGGCACAGTGGAAATTGCGGTGAAGTCTTGGGATTATATCTGCAATAGGACCCAGGCGTTTGTATGGTGTTATTGTTGTACGTTCCTGCTAACTGTTGTATTGAAGCAACTGTGTATGATAAGATATTCAACCAATGTAGGTTCCACACACATCTTCTAGAAAAGATGGCCTCTTCCTCTCGGTTCTGTTAATGGCCACGATCGCTACAGGGAAGCACAAGACAACTACCCACTTGTGGGACAAAAAGGCTGTCATCCAATGCTTTGCCAGTGCTCCTACCAGTTGTCGGACCATGGCAATAGGCGGCCTGCCACAATGCCCAGTAGCGGGTTTTCAGGGGCTCGGTTGCACTGTAAGCACCGAAACTGTGGTAGCCAGGCGCGGTGTTGCACATAATGACGCCTTCCCGTTCATGGCTTCTGTCCAGCGTGGGCACACAGAAGCTTTTAGCAATCAAATTGGCGCACTGGTTGAGTTTGCTACCGTTATGTCCGGTATGAATAGAATTGTTTGTGAATGCAATGTAAGAAATTAGATAAACTCGACCATCGCTTTCATTAGTTTGATTATTTTCTTCAGCTTGTTTTGTAATTCCTTATTAAACAAACAGGGCTGGCCTTCAGGAAGAAGACCAGCACTTGATTTCAGTGTTTTGTTATGTGTTTATTGGTATGGTATTATTTATATATTTACAAAATCACGTCAACCCTCCATGTTTTACTTTTGCTCGGTAGATCTCTGGGGTGATAGCATTGGAGTAAGGGAGAAGACCTTGGGATTTATTGTGATTTTAGCTGAATTTCGGTGACATCCATAGCAGCCCAGCCCATCACCAAATATTTACCAGTATGGTTTGGCTTGACGAAAAAGACAGTCTGCCATGGTCAGCGATAGCCAAGGTGGTGGAGATGCCATGTGAACTGGGGTTCACAGACAGCAGAGGTTGTCGAGGAAAGAACAGGTGTAAGGTTGCGGCGAGCGGTTGAGAAAGGCAGGATAGGACCAAGGATTGAAACCCTGTCCGAACGCCGACCAGATCAAGTCACAGGGGCAGTTGGAAGACCGAGAGTGTGCCGGCGTGTTTTCTAGCACAATCTCACAAGACCGAGATTTAAGATGAAATCAATGTGAGAACAGGAGCCTGAGATCGTAACCCAAGATTTGAGGGCTTGTGCGCTTGGTAGTCGGGCGAGGACAGAGCTCTATCGATGGAGAGCAGCCCAGGGGCCTCCAGTTTAAGCCAGGTGTTGCTAAAACTATGTTTAGCTTCGGAGCAGAGGGTGCATTTAGTTTAAATACAACTCTGTCCGGATGAGAGGATTAGTCCCCAGGGTGAACTGCCCCCCGTCAACGGAAAGGCTGAAAACAGGCAATGTTCGCTGGACATCACCAAGAAACTGGACCAACCCTCACTTCAGTCTTCCAGTCAGCTCATTTGTAAAGACTTACGAAAAGAGATATATAAAACAGGACAGTGGGCCGGGCGCTCCCCCCCCCCCCCCCCCCCCCTTGGTGTCAGCTCTTTCTTCATGTTGGAAAGTCCTTGCCACCAAAGGCCAGAGGCTGCAACAGACAGAGCTACCTGCAAACCGTGCGCACACAAATGAGGCATTACGACAGCTTTGTCGAGGCAAAAACGTCTTTAGGTTTTGAATAAGGCGTGTGAGCCAGCAGGCGACCCGCCCCCGAAAAGCGTTAGAAAGGAGCAGGCCCTATGGAAGAACTGTAAGGCTTGCCGTCACTCGATTGCGCAGTGCTGTGGAGGAGAGCATGTGCCAGCGGGTAACAAGCCCCCAGAGTGACACTCAGCTTCCTGGTGACAGTCATTCCTCGAGCGCCTACCCCTCGACTGTTTGTACGATACCTGATATAGTTCCTGCTGCACGAAACCTGTACGAGTTTTCCCAGGCTTGCGTGCTCTTGGTTTGTGCTTTTTTACAAACGAGTCCTCTTGACAGAAAACCTGTAGACACTGGAAAAAATTACTATTTGTTGGGTGCATACGAAGTATTGCTTCAGAACAGTTTTGTGTGTTTATTCCTGCATGTGTCAGCGTTGTCTTGCACTGATGTGGTGGATGCTGTCATCATTGTTACATAAATTATTGTGGCTAGCGCCGATATAGAATAATCTCTCACAGGGGCGATGTGGTGAAACAGAATGTTGTGCTACCTGCACACTGTCCGTAGCATTTCTTTCACATTTCCTCTTCTGATGCGGGGTGTGTGTGTGGAGGGTTTTGTAGTGAAAGATGTGAATACAGAACAAAGAGACGCATAGAAGTGCAATTTGTGATGAAAGTTGGCTGTTAGGTTAACGGTAGAGAACTAGGGGTGCTTGTGGTCGCGGGACTGATGGAGTATTGTGAGATAAGACCGCGGTGAGACGGTAAGAGTGTGTGTAATGGCTGTTGTGGTGGGTTGGTGTGTGGGTAGGGTGTGGGCGGGCGCGGTGGTTTTTGCCTTCCTGTTATTCCTGTGTATATATCTAAGTTATGGTGGATGCGTTGTGAGACATTGTAACTGATGAATATAAGTAAAGCAAGATGTAAGTAGGTTTGAATCTGAAACAATGGTTTAGTGTGTGTGTGGTGTATAGGGGGGATGGTGAGAGTTGAGGACCTGAAGATTCAGATATGAGGTGGAAAATGTTGAGAGTCTGGACAATATTATATATATATATTGTAACGAGTTAGTCTATCTATATATTATTCTTTCTGTTATATTTCTTATCTTTTATTATATGGATTATATGTGTGATAATTGATGCTCTGTCGAAACATTTTCGAACGGTGATAGGTGGTATGTTGCTGCTCTCGCGCTCGTTAGCCGACGAGTGTAGTTGTGGTGAACGCTCTGATGGAGCTTGGGTGTGGTGTAAGAATATAACAGCTCTGTTGCATGGTGTGTGCGCGTGTTCTGACCGTGATATTCCTCCCTGCAATTCTCTTAAATTCTGTCTAAATGATTCACTATTGCAAATCATATCCTCAAATTGCTACCGGTAGCCTGTATTCACAGGTCCTTAATAAAGGTGTTCAATATATAATAAAAAATGTGAAATGTGTTGTATTTTGCGGGCCGCGCCCGATGCGCAAAAGAGCGGTTGAAAACAAAAACAGCTAGGGGCGGCCGAGGGAAACAAAAAGGGGCGTTGGGCCTGCCCGGCCGGGTGCCTAGACATTGCTCGCAACCGGAGAAAGTCGCAGACCTGTGGGTCAGCTGCGTCAGGAGCAACAGATCCTCTCTGATGTCAGGGCCAAGCGCAGGTGTGCAGCCAAACGATCCATCCTGTCGCGCATCGCCTCTTCTTAGCACCGCGCATGATGTAGCTCGTGGGAAACACTCAGTGTCGCGGCGCGCCTGCATGGCGGTGTCACTGTGAGCCGCATGGAGAAGTTTTAGAGCTTGGGCTATTCTTCACATTGCCTGAAGAGATCAGATAGTGAAACTGGTAGCTGTAGATGAGAGCCTACTTGCATTCAGCTGAGACACAGAGGGTGTTGCCGTCGGACAGGCAGTAGGAGCCTTACCCAGAACGAAGAGCCAGGGCGGGTATCGTGAGTTGTATGATGTGTGAGAGAAGAAGTGCAATATGTTTGCGAGGGTTGGGCGGGCGTGCGCCCGTGCACCAATGAGTTATCAGGTTTGGCTCAGAGGACTGCTAGGTGTGGGCATAGACAAAGCCTGGTTCAAGCCTCCATGTATACTGTCACATTGCTCGAACCGTTGGGTGGTCCGTCTAGCTACTAGATTAGAGGAAAATAGTGCCTACTACACTTGTATGAACAACAGGCGCTGGCTAAGATAATTCACCTTTTTGTGATATACAGTTTTTCACCGCCGCGATGTGTTGTCTACAGACCGATTTTCTTTAAGAAGATAAGAAAAGCGAGTCGCGATGTTTCGGATTCGGGTGCTGTCTTTTCAGTTCGACTTGGCCACTGGGTTCTTGTATGGTTTACATCCCGACATGCCAATCAAGACGAGTTGTTGCGACTGGGCGTGTTCATGTGTGGTGTGTTTTGCCCGGTGTATTTGGTCACTGCCTGTTCTTATACGAATGTGACTAGGAGCATAGAAGAAGGAGAAACCGTTGTTTGGCGTGCACTCTAAGTGATTAAGGAAGGGTCTTGTTACAACCCGAACCCAGTTCACGCACAAAGTGTGTGGTGTGTGGTGTTGTTGTGTAAGAGTGGCGGGAGATTGTTGTGGTGAGCGAAGCGAGATGCGAGAGCGAGTGGAGAGTCCGACTGTTAACCCGCCTCCCGGGTCGTAAGAAGAGACGGACGGTTCTGCAGGTTGGCTTTCATCCCTGCCGCGCTGCTTCAGGACCTCTACAAACACCTGCCAGGCACCCTGATCATGTGTGTTAGTTTCTGTTTGCAAAGAATTACCACCATTAGCTCACCATGGCTTGTCTCAGATATCTGTCTTCTTAGTCTGTCATTGGTATGGTTTTTTCACGTTCTG